GAGAGATAACAAGATTATCACGATTAACCTTGAGATTGGTACTCTTCTTTTAGCATGTTGTAGCTAGTGATGAGCTCATTATGTATCCCCTCAAGTTTATCATGTTTTTCTTTAAGCTCTTTCTTAGAAGATTTGAGCTCCTTGAGTTTGGATGACATAGCATCATTTGCTTCTCTAAGCTCAACACTAGCCTTTTCTGCTATGTCACATTTAGCTAAAAGAGAGTCATTCTTAAGTTCAAGCTTTTCATTATTAGCTCTAGTCTTTCTAATGATCTTAGTATATAGATTTAGCAATTTAACAAGATCATCATATGAAGGTGATTCAAATTCATTATCATCACTATCACTATCATCATTGCTAGCATGTTCATCACCACTACTATCATCATCATTTGATACCTTTCATTCACCCTTGGTCATAAGGCATAGGTGTGTAGAGGATGATGGCAGTGGTGTCGGTGAAGATGATGAAGAGTCAATCACAATGGCGGCCACCTTCTCGTTGCCACTATCATCATCGGATGAGCAACTTGATGAATCAATGTCCGTGAGCCAATCACCGACGATGTATCTCTTGCCATTTTTCTTCTTCTTGTGGAAGTCCTTCTTCTTGTCATCCTTCTTCTTGTATGGCTTGTTTTTCTTCTTCTCATCTTCATCTTTATCACTTGAGTCATCTTTCTTGCCCTTGTTCTTCTTCTTGTATTTGTCTTTCTTAGGCTTGGGGCATTGATGTGCTAGATGACCAAGTTCTTCACAATTATAGCAATCCATCTCAGAGATTGGCTTCCTTCTAGTGCTAGTGAAGAACTTCTTTTTCTTGCCATCAAACTTGATGCCATTCTTGTTGAGCTTCTTTAGCATCTTGGCGGTTCTTCTCACCATGAGAGCAAGACTTGCATCATCAATTTCATCATCACTTGAGCTCTCATACTCAATTCTTGCTTTGCCCTTCTCTTGGCTAGTCTTGAATGCCAAGTCCTTGTCTTTTTTCTTGGTAGAGGATGAGCCATCTTGTGGTGTGATGTGCATATACATTTCATGAGCGTTGATCTTTTCCAAGATTTGAGTTGGTGTAGCGGTGAAAAGATCACCTTGATGAAGCACGGTCACAATATGCCCATATTTGTCAATGGGGAGGACACTCAAGATTTTTCTTACAACATCGGATGGTTGCATTTGTGTAAGTCCAAGCCCATTGACTTCCTCTACAAGAACATTTAAGTGTGAGTACATTTCATTAGCACTTTCTTTCGGAAGCATCTCAAATGAATTAAGCTTTTTCATAATAAAATGATAGTGTTCCTCACGCTCGCTCTTAGTTCCCTCATGGAGCGCACAAATATCCAACCATAGTGCATGGGCGTCCTTGTGGTTCCTCACCCGGTTAAACACATCTTTGCAAAGGCCTCTAAAAATGGTGTTTCTAGCCTTTGCATTCTATTTTTCGTAATTCACTTCATCGCCTTGAAGGTGCGTGGGATCCCTAGGTTTTGGGAAACCTTGAGAGGTGGCTCTAAGAATTCCAACATCTAGAGCTTCTAAATACGCCTCCATGCGGATTTTCCAATAAGGAAAATCATCTCCCTCAAAGATAGGAGGAGGTCCATCCTCGTGAGACATCTTTCTCTAGGCGGTTAAGCCTAAATACGTGAGCACAAGGCTCCGATACCAATTGAAAGGATCAAGATGCCCAAAAGAGGGGGTGAATTGGGCTAATTCTAAAATTCTTTGCAATAAATAAACTCTACACTTAGCCCACTTCACCCCTTGTGCATAGAAAGTGATTCTATTGATCTACCGCACAAAAGTTTAGCACCCTAAGTTCTAATTCTACTCTAGCATGACAATTCTAAGAGTGTAAAGACAAGAATTGAATTGCTCAAATGTAAATGCTTAAAGTAAAGAGAGGAGAAGGAATGCGGCGATGTTTTGCCGAGGTATCGAAGAGTCGCCACTCCCCACTAGTCCTCGTTGGAGCACCCACGCAAGGGTGTAGCTCCCCCTTGGTCCACGCAAGGATCAAGTGCTCTCTATGGGTTGATTCTTCGACACTCCGTCGTGGTGAATCACCCACAACTGCTCACAACTTGAGTTGGGTCATCCACAAGCTCCGTCGGATGATCACCAAACTCCCAATCACCACTAAGCCGTCTAGGTGATGACGATCACCAAGAGTAACAAGCAAGAACTCTCACTTAACCACAACAAGTTTAATGAGATGGGTGGATACACACTTGCTACTCTCTTTTCACTAATGAGGCCTTAATCTTGGATTCTCAAATCTCAATCACCTCACTAGGCTCTTGCTCTCCTTGGCACACTCAAGGATGTTTCTTAGCTGTTGAAATGGGCAAGAGTAATCCCTTGAATGAATAGAGGAAGTATTTATACCCCCTCATTCAAAACGAACCATTATGTGCTTGAGTCAGCACTCTACGGGGTGACCGGACGCTCCGGTCAAGGTGACTGGACGCTCCGGTCAGTTCTCCCCACCACAGAGCCGTTAAGTTATGACCGAACTCTGACCTACGTCCGGTCACAAAAACTGCTCTCTGGATTCTTATTGATGTTGACCGGACTCTGGCACCCAGCGTCTGGTCACTTTTCACTCAGCGTCCGGTTGCACCCAGATGACTTCACTTGATCAAATGAACTGACCGGACTCTACTGCCAGCGTCCGGTCACACCGGGACCAGCGTCCGGTCAACATTTGACCCTGCATTCACTTCCAACTCGAAATCATATGTGAATGAAGTTTGCTCCAATTGATCTTAGGGCTACTTAGGAGCTACCTAGTGCTAGATTTGACAAGTGTGCACCACACCTAACCCACTAGACTCACATAGGTCAAACTACTAGTTCACACCCCCCTTAATAGTATGGCCAAAGGAAAAATAAAGTTATAAACTATTCTAAGTGTCTCTTCAACACCAAACGACACTTAGAACTAGTCCATCCTTAACCTTGTCGTCCATCATTTGAAAACTGAAACGATTTCCATCGTAGGGGCATGACAACCATGATTGCCCAATCAATTGCCATTACTATGACCTAACTTAATTGCCTCTACAAAACACACGTTAGTCATAGTAATCACGTATTGTTATTAATCGCCGAAACCCAACTAGGGGCCTAGATGCTTTTACTAACCACTAACCATATTTCATCCAAATATCACATTAACATATCTCAAATGCATAAAGTAAGAGAGAATTACTTTCTTGGCCCTAAAAAAAGGGTCTACTTCCTTCCTTGGTCTCTTTAGTTTTGAACTTACCTATTTGTCCTAAAATCCAACTTTGGTTCCTTATTTGAGATTTGGCCACTAATGGTGTTAAGTGGGGCATGAATTGACGCATTTACCACTAGGCAAGATATGCAAGAGTATAGAGCTCAGTTTGATACATTTCATTATGAGGATTATTTAGACTATTTTTGTATGGTTTGTGCAATTATGATGACCTCAAACCATGCGAAAATACTCTAAATATAATCCTCAAAATGAAATATATCAAAACTAAACTTTGTACTCTTGCCTATCTTGCCTAGGGGTAATATAAAAGCATCAATTCATGCCCCATTTAACACTATTAGTGGCCAAATCTAATGGAAGGCCAAATAAGGAACCAAAGTTGGATTTCGGGCCAATAGGTAAGTTAAAACTAAAGGGGCCAAGTAAGGAGGTGAACTTTTTTTAGAGACAAGGAAGTAATTCTCTCTAAAAGTAAAGCATGATGGCATAAAGTGCAAGCAAGCATGTAGGCATACAAGTATCGTGAGCGCAAAGATAGGTTATCAGGGGATAAAATGTTTTCAAGCAAGGAAATTAGGGTTCAAATAGGCATGCATTGCCAAATCTAGAAAGGAATATAATTAAAGCGCAAGCATATCTAAGTATATGTCTAAGAGGATTCTAAGTTAGTGTGCCGCCATGACACCTACAATGTTGAGAAAGTAGTGGTACAAGTCTTTAAGGGTCGTTGTAGTTGATTAGTAGGGTCGTCCTCCTTCGGGAGTGTCTTGGGGTCCATCCATGCTCGAATCATTGCTATAGAAATTAATATCATGAATCACTACCAGTAAACTTCCAAAGAAACCACAATAAAACTCGCTCAAGAACTAGAAGAACGACGCCAAGGGATGGTCCAAATTTTTAGAAAAAATTGGTCCAATTTCATATTTTTCAAAGCTATAGAAAGTTATGATTTTTTCAAATATTACAACCTTTTCTGGAAAAACTGAGGAAAAAAGGCATGGTTGCTGGGGGCCTAGCCCATATGCCATTCGGCCACAAAGGTTGGGAGAAATAGTGGTTACTGGCGGGCGCCCCCTCGAGCTGCTCGAGTGAATGCCCAAGGGCGTGGGCGGTGACCAAGAAAGGAACAGTGCCCAAAACCCCAGTTCGGCATCGCCTCCGCACTCCATTCCTCCGGCGATTGTGATCCGCCCCTATCGGCGACTGCGATTCGCTTCGTCTCCCGGCGCAGCGGCATCCACCTCCTCCTCGCAAGCACAGCCCCCCGTCCCTCCGCTCCCAGGTCGCCGCTCGGTCGGGGTGGAGGCGGACTTCGGGTCGATCCGCCGCCAGCCCTAGGTTTGCTCGCTCCCCAATCTCCCCGTAATTTCTCTTCCATGTACAGATTTCATGTCTTGTTTGTTATGACACTTAGAAATTTGCATGTAATCTGTTAATAGGTTCGCGTTAATTAGTGTCCTGTTTTTCTTCCCCAAATTGATTTATAAATGTGTTCCCATTTGTTTTATTTGTCGCATTGCAATATCTTCTGTTTTCTCGAAGAAAAGGTTCGGACGCACCACTGGAAAAGCGTTTTTTCTTCTTCAGTGTTTTATGTATTGATGGCAACGGTGCAATTTGTGGGGCTTTAGAAGACAGGCGATGGCATCGTTTATTAGAATCTAAAATGTTAAGAAACAGACATATTCTTCCCTGACGGCATCTTTTTTTTTTTTTTTTTCTGTGCAGCTTGCAGAACCATGCCAACTCAAGAAAGTGGGGCTGAACCTTGGGTGTTTGGTGCTAATGAGAATCAGGAGGTGGAAGAAGAAGAGGAGGAGGAAGAGGAAGAATATGAGTCCAGTGAAGAATATGAGTCCAGTGATCCAGAACCAAGTGGGAAACGCCGTAAGACATCTGATATTTGGGAAAGCTTCTGGATACTTAAGCAGCGTGGGAGTTCTTCTAACTGTTCTGCTTGTAAGAGAATTCTTGCTGACTGGTGGTAAAAGCGGCGGTTCTCTCTTGGTGTATCTTGACTCAAATGTTAGCATTCCTGATTTCAATGCTGCTAGAAGATCAATGGTTATGTTTATAATTTCCAGTGGGCTATCACTTTCATTTATTGATGAAGATTGTTTTGCCCAGCTACTTGCTCGTAGTCTTCATCCAACATTTCCATTGTCCCGTGCCCGTGCCATTGTAGACAGAGATGTCATGAATCTTTATGAAAGAGAAAAGGGTACACTGAAATGCACCATATCTGAAGCATCTGGAGGACTGAGTTTCTCTGTTGACCACTGGAAGTCGAAACCCACTGGAGATGAGTATGTTGATGACACATATATTTGTGTTACTGCTTGCTTTGTTGATGCCGATTGGAACATGCAGAGAAGAGTTGTGGGATTCAGACTCTTGGATTTTCCTAATGATGCCCCGTCTATAGCTGAACTGTAGCATCATGCTTTCATGATTTGGATGTTGACAAGAAAGTCACGAGCATTACATTTGACAATACATTAGATGATGCTTCTGTGGCTAGTTCACTTAAGACACTCTTGCGAGATGAGGGCAAATTATTGTTTGATGGTGAATTATGTCATATACACTATTGCAGAGATATCTTGAATTGGGCTGTGCAAGCTGGTCTAGAGCTGATTGCTGATGTTATCAAGAAGATCCGTCACGGGATTCATTACATCAATCATTCTGCTGTAAGGAAGGATAAGTTTTTTCAATGTGCTAAAGACATGTTTCATTTGGATGTTAACATCAAGTTACGTGCTGACCTATTTTCAAAAGAAAAGTTACGTGCGGATATTGTTGTTTACTGGGACCTCACTTACAAAATGCTTGGATGTGCCTTGTATTAGAAGGATGCTTTAAATCATTTTGCATCAACAAATGAAACCTTTTTATCTCACGTTCATCTTGACGATGAAGAGTGGAACAAGGTAGCAAACCATGGAAAAGTTTCTAAAGGTGATTTATGACATGACCTGCACTTTCTTAAGCAAAGAGTCTAAAACTGCCAGTTTATACTTTCTTGGAGTATATAAAGTTTACCGATTGCTAGATGTGACAAAAGGGCAAGACAACTTCATGTCTGCTATGGTTAAAGAAGTTAAAGGCAAGTTTGATAAGTATTGGTCAGAGTATAGCACAATCTTGGCTTGCACAGCTGTCCTCGATCCTCATTACAAGCTCAACTTAATCAGCTATTGTTTTAGGAAGATTTATGGCGATGCTGATGGTAGCCAACATGTTGATAGAGTTGTTGCATTGCTTAAGAGATTATTTACTGAATATGAAAAGTCTTCCTCCTCATCTTCAGTTGGGACAAATGTTCTTGAATGCCATACAAAGGATGACTTGTTTGATGATTATTCTGCACCAAAACAAATATCAGAGCTGGATTGGTATTTGGAGTTACCAGTGATGGATCTCAATGTTGATTTGGATTTATTGAAATTCTGGAGTGGCATGTCCAAGTATTACACTGACCTTGCACACTTGGCCCGTGATATCCTTGCCAATCCTATCTCCACTGTTGGGACTAAGTCTGCGTTCACCATGGGGGAGAAAGTCTTGAATCATCGTCGAAGTGGACTCCGTCCAGACTTACTTGAGATGTTGATTTGTCTCCATGACTGGACATGCCTGAAAGACAGAAATGGTATTGCATTATACTCTGTTAATCTAATGCTTCGTTATTCATATACGTATGTAAACTTTATTACTTTTTTTTATAGCGATACATATAACCTCTTTTCTTCTCTAATCTATAGGAATCGCTGTATCTGCTATAGAAGGGTATTGTTCGGAAGATGAGGTTGAAGAAGATGACGAAGTGGAGTAGAGCATAGAAGTGTCTGATGATGAGGATGAAGAAGGTGACGAAGTGGAGAAGAGCATAGAAGTGTCTGATGATGAGGATGAAGAAGGTGACGAAGTGGAGAAGAGCATAGAAGTGTCTGGTGATGACAATAACAATGGTGCTGGTTGTAGCGGTGAGTAGAATGTTAGGCTGCAACTGAAACCTCTGCACTCGTTTACTTCATAGAGTACTTAGTGTTTCCTAGTGTGCTACATGACATATTTTGGTGTTTGCTCATTCCTTGGTGGGCAAATTTACATACTCTGTTGTTAGAAATCTGGTGGTACTAACTAGCATATCGTCGTTCTACTAGTATTATGCTCTAGGTTGTTTCTGTGCTATGTAGGATATAGATGCCAGACCAGACCTTATGCTTGAAATTGTTGCTTACATGTGCACCATGGAGCTGTTGCCTCCGGAGCATGGATGAACCCCAACAATAGGCGGTTGTCGACTTGTCGGCACACTATATCCTCCTTATTTTGTAATGGAAAATTGGAAATGCTCGTCTGAAATGGTGGCAAGATCTGCTGGTATTCCTTGTATAATTATTTATGTTTCCTGAGATGTTGAGAAGACCTTTTCTTCGTCGTTGATCTAAGCTGCTCAATAGTTTTTATCAGAACATGTTATTGAGCCTGATAAGTCTCTGTTCGCTGCTGCATTCGTGCCGAATTTGCAACCATGTATGTATTACTGTCTACTAGAAAGTAGAAAGACAGTTTTTACGTGGCCTCGTTGTGTTGGAGCTCGTAGTCTCGTAGCCCGGGTTCTGTTCATCTCGGCTTTTGGTGCAGTTGGCAGGTAACCCAATGAGTTGTCTGCCTGTTGTTTGTTACTGATATGTTGCTAATGTTATAGTGGTTTTGCCACGTCTGTTGACAGGATATTGCGTGGCATCCACTAAGCAAAGAAGCATAAACAGAAAAAAAAAACCCAATGGGACTCACATGTCAGATGTGGTAACTGGTGTTGCATCTCCTTCTAGTTGCCGGTCTCCACCTCTATCCCCTCGGCCCCCCACTATTGCAGGCTCTGAGACGTTGCGTGCCTTTTCTGACCTCTCCACATAGCTTATTCACTCCTCGTCCTTGGTTATCAGTATATCCATCTGTAATTCTAGAATCTTATTACTCCCTCTACCTCAAATAAGTGTCAATCTAGTCTTCTATACTTGTCCTAAAATAAGTGTCATTTTTATTTCCCAATACAACTTTCTCTTTCTCCAGTACATCTCTATCTCATACAACTTTCTCTTTCTCCAATACATCTCTGTCTCTATCTCTCTCCTCCTTTCCTGTAAACTACACCATTTTCACTTTTCCTTAATCCCCGTGCCCAGAGCTAAAACTCACTTATTATATGACGGAGGGAGTAGAATACTACTATGATACCAAATCGAAATAATATCAATCCTATCTAATATCTTAAATTTTATAGTATGACGATCCTACCTGAAGGCTCTACACAATTCTACATAAAATTTCATAGTATCTCAGTGGTACGATCCTTCTATACCATTCAATATATGATATAAATGTAAATGATTTTGTTGTGCTAAAATACTATTCATTTTTTAATACTATTCACAGTTAACGGGTGTCAAAAGTAATATAAATATAAAGGATTGCACTTAAAAGTACAAAAAGTGAAATAAATTAATCAAAATCAATATTGCACCGTTCAATCTATAAACATATTACATCTTACATAAAATATGTAATTTATAAAATCTGATCGATCGGATCCGATACTGTTAGGCAAAAAATGATACCACCTAGGATCTCAAGCCTTGCCGTCGCTTGCTCGTTTGAGTTTACCTATGGCACAAATTTGCGCTACAACCGCTACTAGACGGAACAATGGCCTTGCTTGGGAGAGTTTATATTAGAAGCGCTTCTTACCCGTGGCACTGCTCACTACTGCAAAGAAAAATTTAGAAGACAACTAATTTTATTAGCGATGGCGGTCATAAAATGTACCTGTCTCTCAAAACACATGATGATTTTCGGAGGTAGTCGTTTCATTTATGGAGACAACAAAAAATTACATGTCTCCTAAAATTGGTCAATAGAAATACATTTATTTTCAGAGATGGACATCTTAAGAGATCTGCCTCTACTAAAAGGTCCAAGGCCCTTTAGCCCGCTCAAAAAAACTATATATATATATATATATGCAAACCCACCCATCTCTCTCCCTCACTCACAGCACAGCAGTGCCCCGTCCACACCGCCACCTCTCCTCCCTCAGTGTATGGGCTGCGAGTCCCCTCCCCACTGCCACCTCTCCTCCCTCATCGCGTGGGCCGCACCCCCTTCCCACCACCTCCTCCCTTGGACGGTGGGGGTGGATCACCATTGGAGGAGGCGGCATGAGCAAGGAAGGCGGTGGGCTCCACGCCGAGAGGAACGGGTAGTGGTTGGCTTAGTGTTGGGCTTCCATTTTTTAAATTTATTTATAGAGGCGGACATCATGACTATCTCAGTAAAGATTGATTAACCGTGACATTTCATTAGAGGCGAGGCGTCACCCGCCTCTGTAAATTATTTATATGACGGTCTCTTGAAATGCTTTTAGTAGTAGTGGCTTGTACTACAACCGTTGTTACAATTGAACAATGCCCTTGCTTGGAAGAGCTTCTATGGGAAGCGCTTCTTTAAGAAGTTGTATAAATAGAGTAAAAGTGTGATCTGAATGAGCAGGTTTGATTTTGGTTCTTTTTAGTACAAATGGAGGATGTGAGAGTATGCGTGGCTAGAAAATTAAAAGTTAAAGGCTGCTAGTTTAAGCTTAGGGCTTGTTTGGCACAACTAAGTCGGAGGACATGGAGCCATTTTTGTATTGAGAAGGGGCCGTGAAAACGTGATTCTCCCTGTCACTCCTCATAGATTTGGCACAAATTATAACAGAAGTGCCATTGGAGTCCTTTTCGCCAAAAATTTTCCAACGTATTTTGGCTCCACCACTAGAGTCAGAAAGAGCTGAAGGCCATTTTGGAGGAGCCAAAGTCCTACCAAATTAGTCTTTATTTTAGCCATAAGTAGCTTTTAAGTTGCACCAAATCCAGAATTTTCAAACCCGAGAACCTTGTTACACTACCGGAAAATTTCCCTGTCGGTATTGCCTCACTACCGGAAACAGTATATATGCCGAGTGTCTGGTGGTTTGCCGAGTGCATTCCTTCGGGCACTCGGCAAACAGTATCTTTACCGAGTACCTACACGTAAAAACTCGGCAAAAAACTTATTTGCCGAGTGCAGGAAATAAAACACTGGGCAAACAACAACAAGACACTCAACAAATAATAGACACTCGGCAAAAGACCGCCACGTGTGACGGCAGTCAACCAGGGTGTCGGCCGTTAGAACTTTGCCGAGTGTCGGTTAGTGTTTTTATCTGGCACTCGGCAAATAGGTTTGTTTGCCGAGTATTTTATTTTATCTTGTTCACGAAACCTCACCACGAACGTGTGGTCGAATGGTTTTTAAATTCTTAAAAAAACAAACAAAGTCTGAAAATCATGAGATTTGTCAAGATCTCGTGATATCATACGTGGAGGCCATGGTAAAAAAAATGAGAAGGTTTTGGACAATCTGTCACGTACGATGTTTACAAACCAAAGTATCTCAGAAGAAGAATCGTAGCATTGAGAATGATTCGGTAAGATTTGGAGTTAAAGTGACGGTCGAATTGGGGTTTGACTTCAAAACTTTTTGTATAGGCAATAGAGAACATAGATTGATTCATGTATAATTTTGGTAATATTTTGGATCCGTTTGATAATTTTAATTTATTAAGTACAATTATAGAATTTTAATTGATATACATTGAATTTGAGCTACAACTGCATGAAATAATAAGTTTTTTTTTCACTTCTGGCCTTGAAAGTTTTTCTACTCTCTACATACAACATGTGGTACTCCATGTTAAGATTTGGTACATTATAATGGAATAATATTGGTAGAAAACTACCCACACCCCGCTCTACGCACAATATTTTAGGGTTTAGGAAAAGGAGGATACGAAGGAAAATGATGAAAAAAATACTTGGTTTGCCGAGTGCCCCTAATCTAGCACTCGGCAAACACAGGTTTGCCAAGTGTTAAATCTAGGACACTTGACAAACAGGTTTACGGGCCCCACACACACGCAGTGGTACGTTTAGGTATTGAAAAATGAAAAAAAAACAAAACGGGGGTTTGCCGAGTGCTAGATCACAGGCACTCGGCAAACTTCCCTCGTAACCACCCCAATCCCGCACCCGGCCGCACACACACGCACACACTCAAACACGCAGCCGCGCACCCGCGACCGCCCACATCGCCGGCCGGCCCCGCCGCCTGCCCACACCACGCCGCCGGCCCCGCGCCCGTGCCCGCCCACACCAGCCCCCGGCGCCGTTTTGCCGCCCCAGGCGCCTGCCCACACCGCCGCCCGCCATTCCTGCCCACAACATACCGTCGGCCCCGCGCCCGCGCCCGCCCACACCAGCCCCCGGCGCTGTTTCGCCGCCCCAGGCGCCCGCCCACACTGCCGTCCGGCCCGCCGCCCGGCGAGACCCGCCCACACCACGCCGCAGGCTCCGCCGCCGGCCCCGTTCCCGTGCCCGCCGACACCAGCCCCCGGTGCTTGGCCTCCCGCACTTGGAGCCACCTCGTCGTCACCACGAACGCCGGCGCGCGCACCTCTGCACCGGCCCTGCCTGCTGAGCTGAGCTAAGCTCTTCCAGTGGCTCGACGCCGCCTGCGAGGCATGCCACCTCGAACAGTCATTTCCCCCGCATTTTGCTCGGTCTCCTCCCCTGCGGCGGCCGTCAGAGCCTCCCGAGGACGACGACCAGCCCTGTAGCCGCCACTGGGAGGTATGCTCTGTCCAGTTACAGGTTAAATGTAGGCGCGATCGATGTCATAAGTTGTTGACTGTTGAAAATTGATCCCTGTTGCAGCCAAAGCTTCAAACTCTAGGCATTACTATTAGTA